TGCATAAACCGCATAAACCGCTATTTCTCATGCAAAAACTGAGACAATCAGCCAAACAGTTTAAAGAGTGGAACACTCAGTACACTCAGTTTTGAGCATACAGTTATCATGAGGTATAAGTTAGATTTCAAAACATGAAGTGTTATTTTCATGGTGCATATACAGTCGTGTGAAAAAGTTAGGACACCCTCTTGAATTCCATGGTTTTCTGTATCAGGACATAATAATAAAAAATGTCTGGTCCTTGACAGGTCTTACAATTTGGAAAATAAAACCTCAGATGAACAACAACACATGACATATTGCACCGTGCCATTATTAATTTAACAAAAATAAAGCCAAAATGGAAAAACCATTTGTGACAAAGTTAGGACACCCTTACTGTTAACATAAGAATTAAGAGGGTAAGAGGCAGTCAGGCACTGCTAATCAAATGCCTTTGATTAACTGATCATCAGCAAGTGTGTGCACCTCTATAAAGTATAAAAGCAGATGTTTTAGCAGTTTGCTGGTCTGGAGCCTTCAGGTGTGTGTTAACACAATGCCAAGGAGTTAAGACATCAGCAATAATCTTAAAGAAGCAATTGTTTCTGCCATCAATCTGGGAGGAGTGACACGGCCATTTCAAACAATTTGAAGTCCATCATTCTACAGTGAGGAAGATTATTCACAAGTGGAAGACATTCAAAACAGACACCAATCCTCTCAGGAGTGGACGTCTCAGCAAAGTCACCCCATGATCAGATCGTGTAACGCTCAGAGAAATGGCAGACAACCCAAGAACTACACCGCAGACTCTACGGGCCCCTGTGAAATGATAAAGTTCATGACAGTACAATTAGAAAAATATGTGACAAGTATGGCATGTTTGGAAGGCTTGCCAGAAAAAAAGCCTCTTCTATCTAAAAAAGCATGGCAGCACGGTTTAGATTTGCAAAGTTGCATCTGAACAAACCATAAGACTTCTAGAACAATGTCCTTTGAACAGATGAGACCAAGGTGGAGATGTTTGGCCGTAATGCACAGCGCCTCGTTTGATGAAAACCTAAAGAGCATATCAGCACAAACACCTCATCCCAAAAGATACACATGCTGGTGGAGGGCTGATGATTTTGGGCTTGGTTTGTAACCACAGGACCAGGGCACCTCACAGTCATTGAGCCGACCATGAACTCCTCTGTATCCCAAAGAATTCTAGAGACAAATGTGAGGACATCTGTCCGACAGCTAAAGCTTGGCCAAGATTGGGTGATGCAACAGCACAATGATCCCAAGAAAACCAGCAAATCTACAACAGAACGGCTGAAAATGAAAGAATCAAGGGGTTACAATAGTCCAGTCAAAGTCCAGAGCTCATCCTGACTGAAATGCCGTGGCAAGAGCTGTGCAGAAACATATGCCCTCAAACCTCAATAAACTGGAGCAACGTTGTAAAGAAGAGTGGGCCGAAATTCCTCCAGAACGATGTGAGAGACTGATTAAGTCATACAGAAAATGATTAATTCAAGTTATTGCTGCTAAAAGTGGATCTACAGGCAATTGAATCATAGGGTGTCCTAACTTTGTCACACATGGTTTTTCCATTTTGGCTTAATTTTTGTTAATTAAATAATAACAGAGTGTGATATGTAATGTGATGTTGTATTATTTTCCAAATTTTAAGACCTGCCAAGGACCAGATAATGTTTTATTATGTCTTTATTTTCCAAATTTTAAGACCTGCCAAGGACCAGATGTTTTATTATGTCCTGATACAGAAAACCATGGAATTCAATAGGGTGTCCTAACTTTTTCACAGGACTATGTTTTTAAGGCTCTTTCCAGAGATCTGCAAAGGCCAGTCTTAATTCAACTGAAGGTGGTTCTTGGCCAGAAAAGTTTAAGAAACACTTCTTTAGAGTAGCCTATTCAGAGTTGCAGAAGTTGATGGATGGAAAAAAAATCCAAAAGAATAGGGGAAAAGTTTTACATGAATCAGCACGAATCAGCACTGGAAAGCTTGGTGGGAGAAGCGAGTGTGTGTGTTTGGTTTGTGGTGGAACAACTGGTTTAGGGTGACTCATACAGATGACGTTGAAAAATAGGGCAGTGCTTCTCAACTGGTGTTGCTTCAGGACCCAGATTTTACTCTCAACATCAAGTCTTAAAGGGGTCAAATAATGATCTTTAAAAAAGCATCATATGACCCCTTTAAAGTGCATAAAATGTACTTAAAAAGCAGTTTAAGTTTATTAAAGAGTCATATCATGAAGAATCACATTTTCCTTAAATGTTTTCAAGTTTATTACTTGTTTTAAGATGAATTGGACTGCAAAATGAGCATAGGATTTGTGTTTTTTGATAGTCAGGGCCAGTCAAGGAACAGAAGCTTGATTTATCTTAACCACTGGAATATTGAAGTTAATCAAATAATGGCAATAGAGGTATCTGTTTGATAAATACTGGAAGGTTGGCTATTCTGTATTGATCAGAAGTGATAAATTTAAGAAACGCAGCTTATACTTGCAATTCCAAAGGTACTGCTCACCATCAAAAATACAGTAAAAACAGTAAGATTGTGAAATATTATTAGTTTCTATTAGAATGTATTTTAATAAGTTGAATTTCAATTTTCAGCATTACTCAAGTTTTCAGAAATCATTCGAATATGCTGCTTTGCAGTTCAGAAAGCGTTCCTTATTATGTAACTATGTTTTCATCCATCTTCTGTGTGCTTCTGTTATCGGCAAAGTGAAAATGCATAAAAAAGTTAATAAATTATAAAACTGATAAAATGGTGTGTGTATTGATGTCTTCTCTAAAAATATGCATTGTTGCATAAGTTTTGTTGTATCGGTTGTATTGTTAAACAGTTTCCATGTTTGAGAGGCAATATATCTTATACTCTTAACAATAGTACAATATAAATAATTTATAATAATAATAATAATAATAAAATATTTAATGCACAATTGAACATTACCAAGAAATGACACGGACACTCGGACGCTGCATTTAGGCTAAATGTAAGACATAGAATGTATGTACTAAAGTTATTTGAAAAATATTGTTGACACATTTTGATGTACTGAAAAAAAAATGTTTGTTTGTTTTTTGAAAAAAAGAAAGTCTGGTTCAAAACTTGGCTAATGTTGAAAACAGTTGTGCTACTTGATATTATTGTGGAAATCATGATGCATTTATTAATTTTTTTTATTTTATTTTACTTCAGTAAATTCAAAAGAACACCATTCATTTGAAATAGAAATCATTATAAATGTCCTTACTGTCACTTTTGATCAATGCATCCATGCACAATGAAAATATTAATTTCCTTAAAGAAACCTTGCTGACCCCAAACCTGAAGGGTAGTGTATGTTTGTTATGCACTAAACGCTGCCTCTCAGTGCACTCATTTAAAGGATAATTATGGAGGGAACGGACAGAATGAGATGTTATATCAGCCCAGGTCAGCGTCCTATCTTCAGCTTCGCCTTTGTTATGAAGGATGTGCTGTGATGAAGGTGTGCTGAAGGTTGTGTTCCTAATCAATGTTGAAGTACTTGAGCGTGAGGAGTGGGGTTAACCTGATCGCTGTGTTCTGGATGAAATGAGGAAACAAAGCTTTACTTGTTTATGCTTCTGCGTTAAAGGGGTCATATGATGCTGCTAAAAATAATATTATTTTGTGTATTTGGTGTAATGAAATGTGTTTATGTGGTTTAAGGTTCAAAAAACATTATTTTTCACATACTGTACATTATTGTTTCTCCTCTATGCCCCGCCTTTCTGAAACGCGTCGATTTTTACAAAGCTCATCGGTCTGAAAAGCGAGGTGTGCTGTGATTGGCCAGCTATCCAGTGCGTTGTGATTGGCCGAATACCTCAAGCGTGTGAACGGAAATGTTATGCTTCAAAGAGAAAGGAAAAATTGAAATCGCATCATATGACCCCTTTAAAATGACCTTTTGGTGCAATAGTAATGAAAAATGCAATGTTTCTGAATGTCCTGTTTTGTGTGTTTTCTTCACAGGTGGAGGTTCACGTTTTACCTGTACATATTTACGTACGGTGTGCGCTTCCTGAAGAAGGTAAACAATCTCTTCTGACTGAATAATTGATGGTCATTGTGAAACAGTACATCTTTTATGATTGACAAGTCGATACATCCATTATTCTGTTTTGCTCTCAGTCTTGTTGTTTCCATAAAACACTGTGAGTTGTTGACAGGATGTTGTCGAGCAGAGAAGCTTTGTTTTTTTCACAGCATTATCAAATAGATGCAGTGTCACAGTTTTTATTTACTTATTCGGTATCACGACTACAAAATGCAGCAGTGCACTGAGAGTTATTCTTCGTTTTGCCTTTCATCACCTCTTGGGGTTTTGCGGCGCGAACGTGCAGACAAGACGAAGTTAGAGAGATGTCAGCTCTGACTTGATTTTGATTTTATTTGTTGTGTCATACTGTGCGGAGAGAGACAGCATCCATAAACTCTCTCTCTCTCTGCCCTTCCTCTCATAAAGCTATTCATAATTCATCACTCTATCCATAATGCAGATTATTTTCCTCCAAGCAAACATGTTCAGAAGAACTGGCCGCATCTTTGACTCTTCAATGAAGCAATTAAAGGATAGTTCACACAGAAATAAAGATTCTCTCATTGTTTACTCAATATCATGTTGCTCCAAACTAGGGCTGCACAGTATATCGCAAATTGACTTGAATAAAGCTTATCATCATCAATCATATGCATTTTGATATGATTTTACTGCATTAATTTGAAAATTTTAAGTAGATGCAGCAAGTAGGCTGATAAAATTGCATATAAATGTGTGGTTTAGATCTGTAAATTATATTTATATATAAAAATATATTTAAAAACCATTAAAATGTATAAAACATTACAAATATATATTTTAAAAATTGAAAAAGATGTTTAAAAAACAAAAAAAAGAAAAATGCATTAAATAGTAAGGACTAGTAAAAGATAGATAGATAGATAGCATACTATTCTATACTATGCTATCACAAAATATATAAAGGTATAATATAATGGTACATAAGTTACTTGTAATGTAAGTGAGGATCAGCCAACAAAACATAACAAATAAAAATATAAATTACATAAATGCAAAAGAAAAATTATATATATATTTTTGAAATAAAAAATATCATTTTTGAATAAACTGTTCCTTTAAATGAGTATTAAGCATCATTTGCACATTAATTCAAAACCAATGTTCCAAAAACTAGCATGTTAGGGATGTTATCTATAGGATTATTTACGAATAGACGCAAGTAAGTAATGCTGTGTGTCTTTGTAGAAACTAGGCTAAAGGTGAACTGCTTGAACTTGCATGACAGTGCACTTTACTGACTGAGTTCATCTGCCTCGGATGGGACGCGTTTCTCCTGCTGCTGTTATTAATAGGAACAGAAGTGGAAGTGGGCTGACATAAACCCAAAACAGACCTACAGCTCATACAGGCTCAAGAACTGATAGATTCATCTGTTGCGTTCATCTTAATTAGGGAGAGCAGGCTATCGAGAAATTGGTTTTGGATTCTTCAGTGTACTTGTCCTAAAAATGATTGGTCATGGGAAGACAAACACTCTAAAGTGAAATGAAATCGAGCTACCAAACTGAAGAAACCATCCAGAGAATATTTGTTTACTTGCCGTCCATTTGAATCCATGCAGTGCAGAACAATAAAACTGGACACAACCATAACCACTGGATTTTTCATCAGCTTTGGTTCTGGAAGTGTTTTCCCCGCTTCGTTTTCTGCACAGGCATTTGAATTTAGTGAAGCATTTGAACACTTGAACCGAACAAACTAGCTGAATCACAACAAAATAGAGTGTTAGCACTGAACAGATTTAACACAGGAGGAAAACTAAGGAGCAAAAGTTGGTCATAAAATTCATGGACATTTTAAGACATTAAAGCACTTGTTTTTGTCCTAAGGAGAATTTACCATAGTTCTTGCACAGTATTCATAGTTTGTCATTTAAAGAACATCTAATGATGTTACAGCATCAGATGTCTTATTCTTGTATGTGGCCTTTGAGAACGATGCTGTGAAGTTGCTAATTAGCCAAAAGTAGCGTTGGATTGGATCATATGTTAGTATTTTCAGAGCACAGCAGCAGATCTCACAGGAAATCATCGGCTTCACAATACCAGGCTTTGATGCCAACTAACCTTCCTACATGATGTGGTTTATCGAGAGGGGAAAAAGTGAATTCAAAGCATTTCAATTATGTAGCTAGCACTGAGGATAATGACTGTATTTTCAGTCTTTTTCATACTTTGATGTAGCAGAATTCAAAAGCTCTTTCAAAAGACATTATCTTGTGTCTTTAGTGAAAAGCTCTGGAGATCATTTGTGTCTCTGTGTTTGATTTTAAAGAGCCCGTGGCTGTGGAACACCCGAGAGTGCTGGTACAACTACCCCTATCAGGTACATTTATACTGTCTGATATATCAATAATAATTATTAAATGGGTCATACTGTATCGTGCTTTTTTCTCTCTGAGGGTATGTTTGCACGACAATGATGTATTAAAAACGGAACAGATTTTCCTTTGCGTCCTTGAAAAGTTTCACATACAGATGACAACATTGTCAAAACACAGGTCAGCGAAAATGACTGGAACGCTGTATTTTCAGGCCCGAATATGCTGTTGTGGTATAAGTGAATGGCCCAGACACATAAAATATGTTTTCTATTTTTGGTTGAAAATGGTGTCGTGTAAACACCCCCTGAGATCCAAGTGTTTTGTGAGGCAAATGACTATATTTCTGTCAGGACCACTATCGTCAAAATGATAGATACTTAGCATAAAGTTTGGTTTGGCGGTATGGTTCTGTTCTGGGCAAAAAACTCCCTGCCCATCCATGCAGCCTGTCATGAATGAGCAGGGAGAGCAGCAATAATAACCCCCCTAGGGTTAACAGAACAGAACAAGGCAGATATCATTAATGTACTTGATATTTAAGTGTAACACTTTATTCAAGATAAAGGAGTCTGATTAGCAAGGAATATCAGAAAGCCAAGTCCTGTGGACTGTGGCAAAAGACTGTGGCGAAAGGAGGAGCTGGGGATGGAGGAGGGTAATTTGCTCTTGAGCAAGCTGAAAAGCTGCTGAATAATACTGAAGAGCTTATATAGGAATGCCGCGATAGGTGTCGTATTCCTATTGGTAGATGTGATCAGCTGAGAATCAGCTGATGCAAGCTTGACTCACGTGACCGGCCAGAACTAACGCTAACGCTTAATTCCACCCTCTCTGACTATTAGATCCTTTTTTAAAGTTAGTAACCATTTTGCATGGCAATGCATTAACAGATCATTCAGTTTTTACATTTCTAATGTAGTTTTTAAGGTCCTAAATCAGGGATTCCCAAAGTGGATCCATGAGTTGATGAAACGCTAATAATGAAATCATAAAAATATCCAATTAAAATAGACATAATTTAAAAATAAATATATTATATTTGACATTTAATTTAAGTTAAAGTGTATTTAATATTTTATCAAATAAAATATACTGCAGGATACTGCAGATACTGTACTGCGTTAGGCTAACCGAGACTTGTCATTTGCACTTCTATATTGTTGCTCTTTTGTTAGTTTTGACTGCTTTTATTGTCCTCATTTGTAAGTCGCTTTGGATAAAAGTGTCTGCTAAATGACTAAATAAATAAAAAAATACAAAATACAAAAAAAATAAAGACAGCGAAGCATGCAAATGTTTTGTTAAATTTATCAAATAAAATATACTGCAGCTGCCTGCAGATACTGTACTGCGTTAGGCTAACCGAGACTTGTCATTTGCACTTCTATATTGTTGCTCTTTTGTTAGTTTTGACTGCTTTTATTGTCCTCATTTGTAAGTCGCTTTGGATAAAAGCGTCTGCTAAATGACTAAATAAATTAAAAAATACAAAATACAAAAAAAATAAATAAAGACAGCGAAGCATGCAAATGTTTTGTTAAAATTGAAATATTAAAGGAACAGTTCTCCAAAAAATGACAATTTGCTGAAAATCTACTCACCCTCAGGCCATCCAAGATGTAGATGAGTTAATTTCTTCATCAGAACAGATTTGGAGAAATGTAGCATCACATCACTTGCTCACCAATGGATCCTCTGCAGTGAATGGGTGCCGTCAGAATGAGAGTCCAAACAGCTGATAAATACATCACAATAATCCACAAGTGATCCACACCACTCCAGTCTATTAGTTTACTGTTTTGTGAAGAGAAAACCTGCATGTTTGTAAAAAAATAAATAAATAAAATAACTTCAAAGCTTCTGGCTAAAATACAGGTTCTTTATCCATAATATTGCTTCTCCAGTGAAAAAGTCGTATCGTCTGAATCAGGAGAGAAATATGAACAGATCAAGCACCGTTTACAAGGGAAAAGAGTCCAAAACAGTTCTTAACAAATACTTCTGTGGAGTTTGATGTGAGAGGACAACAGGGGATGGAATTTTTTCACAGAGGAAGCGTTATTATGGATTATGGAGTCGTATTTTGGCCAGAAGTGACAGTTTAAATTTAAAACACCTTAATGATGGATTTGTTTCTTTGCAAACTTAACTTAACATTTTAGGTCAGAGGAGTTCGGCTGCCAAAAAAGTTTGGGAATCCCTGCTCAAAATACTCATTAGGGCTGCTGTATGCGTTGTTTTGAGTTGCTGACTCTATTGTGTCTGACTTTTATAGCCGTTAACCGTGGATTTGCATTACTACTACATACTGGAGCTGTCCTTCTATCTGTCGCTGCTCTTCTCGCAGTTCACAGACATCAGAAGAAAGGTACGTTAACCATGAGTTTACAGCCTCAGATAAAACTTTCTCATCTTCAGAGCATCAGTATTGGGCTACTGGCAGCAGTTACTGCACATCTGAACCTGAGAGATGGCTTTGGTCTGGTTAGACGCGTCTGCTGCAGCGCTTCGAGTTTCTTGTGAGAAGGATCATGCTGGGTTTATTAGCAGCGACGTGCGGCTCTCGTTTCCTCTGCTGTGCAGGAGCGAAAGGGTTTTCTGGTTTCGGGGAAACTTCCTTTTAAACGTGTGAAATCATGACCACTAATAACTGCTGCCACTTAAAGTGTTTAATATTCATTGTGTTCTGATATTCATATAAGGTTATGAAAAATGCATATTTACGATCAGTATGCATGATGTTCATTTACATGCAAGATTGAGTTGAGTTTCTTTATGAATGCATTGTCATGTGCATAAATTGCAGTTTTTAAATTAACATTTGGAAAATATTGCAAGTCAATGGGTGCCTGACAAATTATGCTAATACAGGTGCATCTCAATAAATTAGAATGTCGTGGAAAAGTATTTAAGAAAAATGTTATGTTTATATATTAAATATATAAAAAGTTAGTTTTTTTTATTTTTTATATATAATGCATTTATTTATTTTTATTTATTTTATTATTACTTTTACTTTGACAGTAAAAAAAAAAAGAAAGAAAGAAAGAAAAACACACACAACCTAAAACTCTACCTAAAAAATCTTTTTTTTTTCCTGCCTTGCATGCCCTGCTGTTTCCTTCAGGAAATGCAAATCTTGTTTTTCTTTGCTCTATCCTTTCAGTTTTTCCGTGCACGTATTGAGGATGTGCTCTGCCTCATTCCTGCCCGCACCAATGTACCCCTTCTCTTCGTTTGCCATGCTTCCATTCCGTTTTTCACCCCACTGCACTTCCTCCTCATCTTCATCACAATCATCATCAACCAGCTTGCTGAGTCAGTGCCATCCCACGATGCCGCAGGGGAGCATGCAACACCTGGCCTCTTAACAGCATTCTTCAACAGGATTTCCTCAGTGAGAATAGACTGAGGACACTGAAGTCTCCCTCTTTATCTATGATTCATTAGGTAGCAGTGTTTGACAATGAAGCCGTTTAATTTGATTCAGGGTTTTTGGTTGAGTGTTAAACATGCACAATTGATCAATTCCTGTAATTGCTAATATAGTGACATGCTGTATCTATATAGAAGTGTTTATGGGGAAATGTAAGCAAACCTGAATTAGCCCTTCCTGCCCTGCAGTACATGTTAGACTCTTAAAAACCTGAATATGCTCGTGTTGTAATTTAAAAACAGTATGGAAAAGGCTGTGAGAGACTTTCAGAAATATCTTTGGTTAAGCCCAGACACAAACATTTTTAATTATAACTTGATCATTTACATAATGGCAAGAAAATTAATCAAATGACTAACAAGTAGGAAATAAAGAGCTATAGTTAGTCATTCATTGCTCAGTCAGGGTTTAGCACACTGAAAAAAAAAAATGATACTAGGAAAGTTAGCCAACTAAATTTGTTTATTTAAATGTAGCTAAAATAAATTGATTGCAACCACTTACAATTGAGTAAATACAAAGATTCAGTAAATTCAATTATCTTTTTTTTTCCAGTGCAGTTGCAGTCAGCCTGAAGAAGTGTTCTTTTAGTATAACTGCTATACTAAAAATCAGTTTTTATGAATGAATAAATATTTTTTAATATCAATATGTTTTTTATTAATATTATTAACATTAGTAAAGTAGTAAATTATTTAGTATTATTAATATTTAAATTATTTTTTATTTTATATTATCATGGTTCATTTTAATTTGTTATAGTAATTTTGTTGTATGTTTTTGTTATTTTAGCTTTTGATTTTTAAAAAGTTTCTATATAGTTCTTATTACAGTTTAAGTTATTTCAGTACTTCAAGTTAAACTGCAAGAAAATTAGAAATGATGTCTTGGCAACAGTTTGAAATAAAATCAAAGGTAATTATATACATATTTATTATATATTTTATTTCAACTAATGATTTTTATGGTTTTAGTTTATATTTTACTTATTTTTTTATTTTATTTTATTTTATTTGACTTTACTTTTAGTTATTTAGTTAACAATTATAACCCCTAACTTGAAGTTAATAGATATTATTTGGAATTTTTGTTAATTAGTTAGAGTAAATCTGATCTCCAACAACAGTCAATGATTTAAAATTTACACTTGTGTTAATTTATTTGTGATATTGTGATTAAAAAAAAAGTAACCAATATGATATGAGTTTCATATTTGATCCATGTATTAAAACATGTATGATGAGGACAGAAAAATGTACTGCAGAGCAGGAATGTTTGTCTTGTAGGTTTAACGTGCATTTTCACTTCCCGTGTGACTTCCTGCAGGACTTTCTCCTGATGTTCCTGCATCATGTGGCCACCATCTCTCTGATCACCTTCTCGTATGTGAATAACATGGCTCGGGTGGGAACGCTGGTCATGTGTCTGCACGATGCTGCCGACGTCCTGCTGGAGGTGACTTCCTGTTACAGCCATTACAACCACAGAAAAAGACACAATCCTGTAGATTATTAGTACACTTGTCAAAACCTACAACAACAGGAATTCATTAGTAAATGAAGATTTAAAGTTACAGATTCTAATTTTAATGTTGGAAAGTTAGTTGGCCAATCTATCAGCTACATAATCATTTTTAAAAGCATAGTCCACCCAAAAAATACAAATTATTTACTATTTACTCGCCCTCATGTTGTTCCAAAACCAGACTTTCTTTCTTTTTGGACTAGTTCCAAAAAGTACAAATAAACACCACAAAAGTGCTATACATGTGACTTAAGTGCTATTCTGTCAGGACCACTATCGTCAAATATGTTTGACAATTAGCATACAGTTTGGGTTGGCGGTATGGTTCTGTTCTGGGCAAGAACTCCAGCGATACCCTTAGGTAGATGGGGATCAGCTGAGAGTCAGCTGATGCGAGCTTAACTAACGTGACCTGCCAGAACTAACACTACGCTTGATTATTGCCAATTTTTATGAACAGAAACAGTCCACATTCACTGATAATATTGATATTTTCATTTCTGGGTGAGACAAGGTTAAAACAGCAAGGCCGGACTTGACTCCAACATTGGAAGTGTTACTCAAAATATAATAAATAAATAAATAAAATATTAAATATATTTAATTTAACAAATAAAAAGAAAAACAAATATAAAGAAATAAATAAGTACATAAATAATCTAGCATAAGAAATAACATTTATTAAAATGTAATAATAAATACATTTAAAATAAAATACAATATAACAAATAAAAAAAGATACATATATAATGTAGATGTAATAATATAATATAATATTTAATATTTAAATATATACAGACGTACTTTGACGACAGACTTTGCTCGGGCATTTATGAACGACCATAACAACATTTCAGATGCTGTGCAACAAGATCGGTCCACTGGTTAGTCAGGATTTGATGCGCATGGAGGAATTTATTCGGCAAACGTGTTTCCATCTCCCATTATTCGCATCAACCCTTTTCAAAAACAATTACTTGCGAATTAAGGGATTTTTAATCAAAATTTGGCATTTCTATCACCCGTTTCTAATGTGATATGATGGAAACATAACAATAGTTTCCGTTCTAAAATGGCGTTGATGGTTTTACTCAGGTGGTTAACTGACTCTTTTCATAGCTTCATTCTCTGGTTTTTTTCCTGATGGTGTCATCCATCAAGCCTCATTTGCCCTTTCCCATGTATGTGATTGTTTGTTTGTTAAGACTAGTTTGTGTTAGTGTTTAGTTAATAATACTCTTGTGCACAAATTACATGAGTTTCTGATTCTGCCTTGCAAATTAATGTCCCTTTACGATTTTCATCCTTACTACATGCTCTAATGCATTAATACTGTAAGTATTTTCTGTGGTGAACTTACAGTTGATATGAACTTACAGTGAATGTTCGCTGGACGAACAGATTGGTTGATGGCAATTTAAATCTGCTACAGTTACTACTGGCAGCTGATATAAATAATTGTAATTAATCATAATTAACTGTAATTATTTATATACATTTCCCTTTTGAGCTAATTTGCTACACTTTCATAATGAAACACACACCGTCTCCATGACATGGCGGCGGCGGCAGCAGCAACAATACTACAGCGAGAATCAAAGTTACGCCTTCTCGGAAGGCCAAATAAAGTGCTTTTGCTTTCGCCTAGAAACACACAGCGTCTCCCTGACAAGGCTGCTTCAACACTAACTGCGGTTACTGAAACCACGCCTTCTTTCTTTGCGTGCACATTTGGGCGGCATTATGCAAATATTTTCACATAGTGAGGTAGATATGTGGGGCGTGTTTAAACGAGGCGTTTTAGGACGAGTCTTAACTTTTATAAAGAATATCTCTTTGGGTTTGAGACTTTAGTCTTTGCAACTTTAGGGATCTTATCTATTCACGAACAGCTTGTAACACTCCAAAGAGAAAGGAAAACTTGAAATCGCATCATATGACCCCTTTAAATGTGCAGTCATCCAAAGGATGCATATCCAATATTTCCTCTTCCTGCTGATGCATTAGCGTTTACACGTCCAACTACATCTGAATGTGGTTTGATCCGATCACGTAACGTTTTGGAGCCCATTTCCACAGTATGTTGTGCAGACCGCCTGCGTCTGATATTAACAGCAGAACTTTCACTTCTGTGGCTTTTTCAGATCCATTATTCATTCCGTTCTTCAGAATGAGTCATCTGTGCTTTTTCCGCTCGTTTTGCTCATTTATCATTTAGTGCCGGGAAAACGTTTTATTCACTCACCTCGTCTAAGTGACTGCTGTGGCTTTTGAGTACTTCATTGTGCGACTCTAATGGAATTAGAGAAACGGTCTAATCTGGATTCAGCTGAGGAGCCGCGTGAGGAACCGATGATGGATGTGACGGCGCCATCTGAAGTCTCTGGTCCTCTGAGAGTCCTTACTGTCATTTAGTGACGATTATGAAATGGCCTTGACAGAGCTGTTGTCACAGTCCCTGTATTCAGTTCATGTCAATTCTGATTCGGTCTCCTTTTGTAGGTTGAGATTTGTGCATCTTGTGCTACAGTGGAAGCTATGAAATCTGAGCTTTTTTTAAAGAGTGATCACTATCACTCATTTACATCTGATCTAAAGACCTGCAGAATCTGAAACATTGCTTCATTGTTTTAGTCAATGATTTATGTTTTAGTACTTTATTGTTTTAAGACAAAGTTTAAAACAGTTTATTTCCAGATCTACTGTAGATATTGAAGCAAAGACATTCAGAGAGATCTTAGACTTTTACAAAAAAAAGGGTTCAGAAATGTTTACTTTATGCAGATGCAGTGTGATTTGATGCAACAATTGCAAATGCTAGTGAAGTATTTGTAAATATTTTGTGCTTATTAATATTAACAAGTACAATAATCTATTAATATTATATTAAGTTTGAATTAGCTTTTATTTTTTATATTTTCAGTTTTAATTTTAGGTTTTAGTAATTTTGAAATGTGTGTTTTTTTTATAGTAATTTATTAATATTCAAGTATTTATTCATATTCTGAATTAGTTTTTATTTTTACATTTTCAGTTCATTTTAATTTTTACATTTTAGTCATTTTGTAATTTGTTTTTGTCATTTTGATTAATAGTAATGTATTGATATTGTAGTATTTATTCATATTCTTAATTAGTTTTTATTTTTATATGCTCAGTTTTCATTTGAATTTAAGTACTAGTCATTTTGCACATTGCTATTGTCATTTTTATTTGACTGTTTCTATTTAGCTTTAATCTATTTTTAATTTTTTTGTTTAATAATTTATCATTATTTCAATTAATAATTTAATTACATCAAATTAATTAATAACAGTCAGTTTTAAAAACGTATTCCAGTTAGTTGCAGAGTCAATATTTTGAATTTACGTTCGTTTTTGTTTTTTTGTTTTCAATTTTTCATCTAATATTTATATTTTATTTCAGCTTTATTTCAATTAACCAAACCATTTTTAATAGTTTTGGTTTTAGTTCACTGAAACACTGCTCCATAGGTAAGCTAAAACCAACAAAACCTCTATTTGGGAACATCCTCATTTGTAGAAACAATATATAAATACAATTATTTATGATTATATATATCAATTTATATCAATATTATATTGAGTTGCAGAACGCATGGGATAACATTAGTGTTGAAGTTCTCAGGAAATATATTGACACTATGCCAGAGAGATGTGCTGCTGTAATTGCTGCAAAAGGTGGGCATAGCAAATATTAAAGTTAAAAGTGGATAAAAACTCACTTCATCTGATATTTATTGTGCTCAGAGCAACCATCTGCACGTTTCATGAACATCGTGAAATTAAATCATGTTTTGGAGGCAAAAAAGGTCAATATTTTCAGATCTATCAGGTGTTCTAACAATTTTGGCCATCACTTGTCCTAATGAAATATCCTATATTGCAGGATTTTAAACACCACTGTGTTTGAGAGCTGGGAGATCGTGGGGCCGTACCCGTCGTGGTGGGTGTTTAACGTGCTGCTCGTCCTGCTGCAGGCCCTGCACACCTTCTGGTCGTATCTCATAGTGCGCATCTCCTGCAGGGCCATCTCCAGAGGAAAGGTGAGACTCCAGAAAATACACCTGACCCTTTATTGCTAGGGACTCGAATATATCTTGTGCTACTAATTTAGCAAAGTTATGGTCATATGACAGATCTTTCACATGTTATTGAGTATATTAGAAATCATATCAAGTTCAGTATATCTTTAGCCCTGTTCGGACAGTAATTGTTTCTCACGGTGGATATCTATGGAATAAAATCGCTGTCAAAAATAATCGTACGTAATTCAAAGCATTTGTGTGTCATTTTAATTTACTCGTGCGTAATTTAAAAGTATTGTATGTAATTCTGCGGGGCGCAAGCGCACTTTGTGGAATCGATTCATCTTCCCTCGGATAGTAATGCCTGTGACAATGATGACGTATTTTTGACAGTCCTTTCGCACACCGCACTTCGTGTCGCAATTCGCATGTCGTGCGTGTAACAGAGCTGTTGTGAAAACAAGCGTTGTGTCTGTAAACTGTCATAGTCGTACATTTTGGAGTTGTACTCTAACAAACACACAAAATCTCGTATCTGTAAACTGTCGTGGCCGTAGATTTTGGAATCCAACTCTGACAAAAAACAGAATGACATACAATACTTTTAAATTACGCACGAGTAAATTAAAATGACACACAAATGCTTTGAATTACGTACGATTATTTTTGACAGCGATTTTATTCCATAGATATCTGTGAAAATAAATTAGAATGGTACCTCAGGGATAAAACTCGCGCGTTCAGATGAAGATTTATTCCTGGTGGACGAGTGAGTTCTGTGATCCTACAAATCCAGAAATGCATTTCTTTTTGGTCAATCACACGTTCAGCATGACAATGAATTTAATAATCAGTTAAAATAGATTGTTAATTTATTTAAACATCCTATTTAATAATAGGAACTGGATTGACACCCTGTGCTTTAAATCGTTTTGTCTGGCATTTTATCTCAAATTGATGGATGCAGCCTCTAATTTACATAAAGCAAATATTTGACTATTTGGTCAACTAGTAAAATGATTAAGGCGCATTAAGGCCAAATTTATATAAATACATACTTTTAAATTGTATTTAATACCTGTTTCTGCCATAAAAATGGTCCAGTTCAAAAGTGATTGTTATATTTTTTCTTCTTAAGACTTCCCGCTCACTGTAGTGAAATTTTCTTCTTCTAAACATTTTTCAGCATTTCAGTAATAAAAAGCATCTATATTTAAGATGCATGCACGTTACCACAAAGCATAGAAGTTATCAAGGATTTACAAAAGATGTGGATTCAAATGGCAATTAAATTACAGTGGCATGCGAAAGTTTGGGAACCCCTGGCAGAATCTGTGACAGTGTGAATAATTTTAACAAAATAAGAGAGATCATACAAAATGCATGTTATTTTTTATTTAGTAAGATATTTTACATAAAAGATGTTTACATATAGTCCACAAGACAAAAAAAATAGCTGAAATTATTAAAATAAAAAGTTTGGGAACCCTTGGTTCTTAATATTGTGTGTGGTTACCTGGATGATCTACGACTGTTTTTTGTTTTGTGATGGTTGTTCATGAGTCCCTTGTTTGTCTGAACAATTAAACGTGCTTCCGAAGGGCAGTACTAAATGGAAAAAAATGATATTTCAACAAAATAAGAAAAATTTTGACATCTTCATCCTGTTCAAAAGTTAAAAGATTTGCGATTGCCAATAAAACATCCATTATTGCTTATGTACACACACATACTTCATGGGCCTCATACAACATAAAATGTTGCGCAGAAACCATCCTAAATTTGATCTTACGATCATCTCTCAAATATGCGTACATGTGATTCATAGAATGAACGTACGAACAGAAAACGCAACGTATGCCTCTCTTTCAGATGTGAAATATGAATCGCAAATGATCTGGGTTCACTAACTAGTACTTTAACCTAATGCTTATGCTGTATTCCTAAATTCATGTGCTTTTTCTCTCTTCTTTGTCTTCATCGCTGCCATCAAAGGCGGGAAAATGGAATCCTTTACATGTAAGTAGATGATTGAAAGAAGAGATTGGTGCAAAATTGCCATGAATTAGCAGCAAAAAAACATCATTGTCCTGTGCATGGACGCATAAAACTTCTCAGAGTTATGTTTATGGAGTCTGTTTCTCTGAAACACTACCGTTCAAAAGTTTGGGGTCAGTAAGTTTTTTTTTTTTTTAAAGAATGAATAGTTTTATTCAGCAAGGACACATTAAATTGATCAAAAGCGACAGTAAAGACATCTAAAATGTTACAAAAGATTTCTATTTCAAATAAATGCTGTTCTTTTGAACTTTCTATTCATCAAAGAATCCAAAAGCAAAAAAATCAGCTTTGCATCACAGGAGTAAATTACAAATTTTAAAATATATTCCGATAGTTTTTTTAAATTGTAATATTTCACTCTACTTCTGTTTTTACCGTATTTTTGATCAAATAAATGCAGCCTTGGTTAGCATAAGAGATTTCTATTATTGACCTCAAACATCTAAAATGTCGAAAAACTGTCAAACTAAGGTGATTAGAAACAGTCACTTCTAATTGTCAAAATATAGTGCCAGATAGTAAATACTGTCATCTTAATCATCTCTCTACCCTTCCTAGGTGTCAAAGGATGACCGCAGTGACATTGAGTCCAGCTCTGATGAAGACGAGGTTCTTCCTCCTCCTCAGAAACACCACACTAACGGGACCAACGGCGCCCACGGCACCAACGGCTACCTGTCCTCGTCCCCGTGCCCAGACGAACACTAACCGTCCGCCCAGCATGGAGGGCGTTTCACCGAGCCCCAGCTGCATCACTCTCCGTTGTGTCAAATCATGTATGAACATTACCGGTCCCGTACTGGAACTTCTCAATAATGTGAATGCGGTTCTGTTTCGGTTGCTCGCTTTTCACCATTCCAGATGTTTTGCGTTCCATTCGTTGGCTTTTGTTTTTGTGGTTGTTTATCCTGCGACATTCGTTATCGAAGCACCTTTTAGATTCAGTGCGGCTCACGCTTTTCTTTCGAGCAAGTGAATGAAAGCATTGTTCTTTATTTCATAATCACGTGAGCATGCTGCTGCGGTCAACTAATCTGGCATCATGGCAACAATAGTTTTCTTGGATTAGTGTTATTTTCTATTTATTAAAAGGAACACTCCACTATTTTTGAAAATAGGCTCATTTTCCAACTCCCCTAGAGTTAAACAGTTGAGTTTTACCGTTTTCGAATCCATTCAGCTGATCTCCGGGTCTGGAATAGTGGAGTGTTCCTTTAATTTTTGTATCTTTAATAAATTTGCATTTGTGTTTTTTTTTTTGTGGTTTTTTTAAACATACGTTCCCCTTTTCCACAACAAGATGATGGTGCTGGAGCTGGTGCCCAGTCTAGAACCGCTCTGGGTGTGTTTCCTAAAAGCATTATTAGCCAACTATGGTCACAAGGTCCAACAAACATATGCAAAATGCATCACAAAGTTGTGTTGTTGGAACTTCAGCTGTCCACCTGTAGTTAAACGCATTTATCAGCTAACAAAAATATGTTCTATGAACGTTTTGTTAACAATTCCATTAAGTTACAAAAACGGTCTCTGAATGTTCAAAATGTAGTTTTTTAAATGTTTTAGAATCATTTTTTCTTGGTTTTGTGAACGTTACTAGAACAATAAATTTTATAATTTTCAAACATTATGGGAACGTTACTTTTAAATGTACTTTTAAAAAACATTAGACGAGCATCCACAAAAGTTTCCCAAAATATACCTTACGCAAGTACAGTATATGAATGTTAAATACTTGATTTTGTGCATTCCAAAAGAAATTGCAATTCAAAGCACAATATTTTGAACAGAATCTTGCAAGTTGAAGCAAGTAATTGACTGTAATGTTCCCATAATGTTTGCAAAATTATAAAATGGACTGTTAATGTTTGTATAACTAAGAAATAAAAACATTTTACAACATTTTTTAAAAAACCGGACATTCTGAATGACCATAGAAAATTTTAAATAATGTTTTCATAACTTGAAAGGTACAAAACATTCTCAGAACATATTTTTGTTTGCTGGGTTTCTGGCCAGGTTGACTACTGAGAATAACTTGCACTGCATCGGCAAGTATTCACATCTGCATTTGTATTTGCATATAATGTATGTGGCCTTAAATCTGCTGGTTTCAAATAAGGAAATGATAACATCAAAACATCTAGTTTTGATTATCGTCAACAAAGCAGTCTAAACTGGAAATGCTTAATGCGGTGACTGGCATTTATCTTGTGAACACGCTGGTTTTATTTTTGTGACATTGCATGGCAACTTCAGATGCTACATTTAAGCCCAGCGATGCACTATAATTATTTGTAGGAAGGTTATGCAGTAACTATCATTTACATGATTTAAATTGAGAGATTCACAGATTCCCCAGCTGAGCATCAGCTCCGACACGAGCAACAGCGTCATTTTCGTGGAACGGGGTAACAAGTCAGTCAATTTACTCAAAATAATCATTTGTTCAAATGAACTAGTGGTTTATGACGAATCAATGATATTCCTTTACCAAACATATTTTCACAAGTACACTATCATTCAAAAGATTGGGGTTGGCGAGAAGTTTTTGAAAGTTGTGTCTTCTGCTCATCAAGGCTGCATTTATTTGATTAAATATACAGTAAAAACTGTAATATTGTGAGATATTATTACAATTTAAAATAACTCTTCTCTATTTGATTATATTTTAAAATGTAATTTATTCCTGTGATGCAAAGCTGAATTTTCAGCATCATTACTCCAGTCTTCAGTGTCACATGATCCTTCAGAAATCATTCTAATATGCTTATTTGAAGAAACATTTCTTATTATCAATGTTGAAAACAGTAGTGCTGCTTCATATTTTTGTGAAAATACGTGTAGTGATGCCTTTTTTCAGGATTCTTTGATGAATAGAACGTTTAAAAACCAGCATTTATTTGAAATAGAAATATTTTGTAACATTATAAATGTCTGTCACTTTTGATCAATTGAATGCATCCTTGCTGAATAAAAGTATTAATTTCTTTCAAAATAAAAGTCTTTGGAACGGCAGTGTACGTTGATAATGGGAAGCCTGTATTAGTGTTTCAGGTGCTGAAAAGAAAAGGGACACTTACTGTATTTTATCGAGAAATCTTGCCCGACTTGGAAAAAATTCTGCTTCTTTTAAGGAAAGTGTTTTAGTAGGAAACTTGCACCTTTGGAAAGTATTTCAATGTGATTTCACTTGAAAGAAATAGTGTAATTTATCAAATGATTACTGATTAATACCATCAAGTCAGCAGGTATAAAGAATCTAATGTCCCGGGATTATATTTGATGATCATTTCTCATTGAATCCCATGAAATATATCAAACTATCACACTTTTATTCATGTTTGAATGAACATACTTACATGCACTTTGATGAATAAGTGGCACCAAACACTGGTCTTATTTGTTATTGTTATGTCGTCTGTTTTTTTTTTATTAGATTTTTTTTAGTTTAGAATAAAAGATTCTTCTGGTTTTCCTCGTGCATTTGATCATCATTCAGCCGAGCTTTATTTAAAGCTTTTGATTCAAGTGTTTTGATGCTGTTTCTTTCAGTGTTGGGAAGGTCGCTGCTGCTGTCTGTTTTGAGCTGGAGAAGCGCTACAGCTAATTAGCCAGGTTGCTGTGTTATGTGGTTTACATTTGATGTCAAAAAGGCGAAGATTTAAAAAAAAAAAAAAAAAAAAAAAAAGACAACTGTATTCTCTGCCTTTGCTGGAAAACTGATTATCAGCGGTACTAATGAATTATGTTGCCATGTATTTTAAATAAACACGACAGACCAAAACCCTTCTGGCTGCTTTTGTTGTTTTGGCTGCATCTGTCTTTCTATCTATCTTAATTTAAGATTAGATGTAAGGGATATTGTTATTTTATGGTATTTTGAAGCAGTTTTCTTTAATATGGCACTGTTGCAGGCTGCATTCATCTTTCCAGCAGGTTGAAAGGGGGGAAATAAAGTGAAGAGGATAACTAATAAGAAACTGTCTTTTTAAGGTGTTGTGGGGATACAGCACCTCTAAAGAGATCCCAAATAATAATGAAAACTTAATATAACTATAAACAGCAGACACAGAAGATTTGCAGCCGGAAAGATTATATATTTTTAGAGATTTGACCATCTTGGAGTCAAACCTTAAAATGCTCCAGTACATCAGCTTTAAACCTATAATCCTCCAGGTCTAGAACAGCTGCTTTGATCGATGTGTATATGAGCGTTCTGATTGGTGCAGTTGGAGGAGTGGGCGGAGACTAGAACAATTACACGTTGCTCTGCCCCCAAATGCTAATATAGGGGTGTTCAATTATGTTTTTCAGAGTCGACTCCCGGAATCGACTCCTCAGCTCCATTTACTTACAGGGTCAGCAATAAGAAAAATGTACAAGATGGCAGTCGTATATTGCACACTAAATTTAGGCTTTTTTCGACACGAAGCCTTACATTAAAAGTTCAGTTCAGAGATGACACCTTGAAATGAGGAGTACACCATCGTTTCCTAGTTGTTGCCAATACATGAAATTTTAAAGAAGCTAAAGTCACGAGAAACACTGCATAGGGATTAGTGAAAGTGAGCGATTTCAGACACAGCAACGAAGTCGACAACAAGATGCCAGCGCTAGAATCGAACCCGACACTACGGCTATTCAGTCGAGGAATCGACTCTTTTGAAGTCGACTCCCCATTGACTCGCAAATGCAGTTTCATGATCAGCTCCGAGTTCCCTAAATAACGCGATAGACAAGTAACAAAGCCATTACACATGTGACAAGATGTGGGAAAAGCGGAACGGAAAACAAAAAGCGAAGATATCACAAGAGTTCGTTATTAGTCGCCAGCACACCAGCTCCAGACAAACACTGAAAACTATCCCGTTGCTACAGTATATCTTGGTTCTGTGAAACAACAAACCCAATGTTACTCGCGTATCAAGCACAAAGCAACTTCAGCCAACGGTTGTGACTGCAGCGTCCGCTCTCTAACGTCTCTCCAGCGCTGGAAAACCTTTCCTATATTAACGCGGGTGCTGGGCTGGCTCTCATTTTTCCATTGATGGTCCTCTGACATTTCCTCTTTGGTAACGTCTCTCTTTCTGCAGTGTTTCTACAAATCTCCCGCTTGTTCATTCTCTGACTCTCTCCCCATCATGAACGGAAACGCCCCCTTATTGCTGATTGGCTAAAAGAGTGTTGTGGCGCTCGGTCTGATCCACTTGTTTTTTTTCACTATTCATACAGCCAGAACTATGTACAAACATAATTTTTCATCGCAAACAGCTAGCAAATATGGGCAATTTCAATTCATTTTTAAGTTCTTTATGACTTTGTTTGAATATAAAAGTGTCAAAGCATTATTACACAAAGAAATACTAATAAGAAAAAGAAACATACAATGTAACAACAAATTTTAATAGTCTCTCTTTCTTGCTTACAGCAAAAATACCTATTTTTTTAAGTTCCGATGTTTTACCCTTCAAATCAACCATTTTGACTGTTTGCAGTTCAGCATCATGCAAATATTTCACCACAGAATTCTACAATTGACCAGAGTCCAGCATTCTTTAAAAAGTCATACATTGTAATAAATTGTGCCATTAATGAGTTTCTTTACAAAAATTTTGACAAAGACTAGAGAAAAATTTTTTTTTGATTGTCCAGAGCTGGACCCTACAGAAAAATCAAAGCTCAAAAAATATATAAATGTACATAATTTAATGGAAATTTTGGTCTATATATCATTATCTAGGATTCCTTTAAACTTCTTTTAAAGGAATAGCTAACCAAAAAAAAGAAAATTTACTTATGAAGCTTTTCACTTCGTAAGACGTCAACTGATGGACTGGAGTGGTGTGGATTACTGTGATGTTTTTTATCAGCTGTTTATTCTGACGGCACCCATTCACTGTAGAGGATTGTTGAGCAATTAATGCTACATTTCTCCAAAGCTGTTCTGATGAAGAAACAAACTCATCTGCATCTTGGATGACCTCAGAGCGAGTACATTTTTAGCAAATATTCATTATTGGTGAACTATTCCTTTAAAAATGGTTTACTGAAAGCAAGCCAAAATGATTATTCAGTGGCATCAGTGCAAAAACAATCTTTTGAAATCA